CTTGGAGGAGGTGGGAATGGGGCATGGTTTGAGGGGAGGAGGGAAGGCAGGGGAATCTGTGGCTGATATGTAAAATTAATTAATTATAAAATAAAAGTATTTATTTAAAAAAATAAATGTGGACATGTCAGGTTATTCCCTTCATGTCCTTGTATTCAAATACATCCTCTTATCACAGTTCAGGCAGTTCTTCCTAGAATTACACGTGTGAGAAAAGCCATCTGCACTCTCCCTGACTCATAGTTGACAGCAGGAAAACAGCTTTTTTTACATAGGCACACACACTGAGCTCTCTTGTATCTAGCAGTGACATAGTTTATATGCCATGTTATCTCATTACAAATTATTTTTCATGTTGTATATATGAAGGTCAAAAAGTAATGATTCATTTCATCATTCTGTGTTTCCTTTCCTGGAATCATAGCAACTAAGCACATTTGATTCAAACATATATTGGAACACTTTCCTTTATGGTGAGGATTAATTTGAAAAATACATTTTCACATTGTGATATTCATTTAAGATACAATGGCTTTTTATGAGAAAAAATAGCATAATACTTCATAACAGGCTGTGCCTAAATGGAGTCCAGAGGGGTGCACACCATTGTGTGCAGGTACCTTCAAAACATCTGCCATACTTACCTTCTGTTCTTATTGTGTCAGAGTGCTCTGAGACACTGAAAGTGTTTATTTTTCAGACAATGCTGCTGCCAACAGGTGTCTCCTCAAATTCTTGTTGTCACTGGCTCCATAAAATTTAGTTTATTCAGAGTGATATGCTTACTATAGAATGTGTAACCTTTATTCGTCTTGCCTCTAATTTGACTATGGCTTTCTTTTTGGCTGTTTATATATTGGGATCATTTTGAATTAAAGAAAAAAATCTGTTATATTCTGCTCTGTGAATAAAAACTGTACAGAAGCTTGTCTGGAGAGACTGCTTGGCTGATGAGAAATGTAGTACTGTGGAGAAAATTGTTGTTTCAGGTCCAGGGGCTTATCCTATCTTGCACCGATTCTGGCCCTCAAGACAGAAATTCTTTGGCTCTCTTGTTGTCAGGACTAACACCTTGTAATAATAGATAAAAAGTCTTTCTAGAATCTATTAACAGTAGACTACAAACTTCTACCACTCCCAAAGATAAGAATGTCATCAGATAGCATCCATTGCTTATAGAAAAACTTCCCCCATCTCCCTGTATTCACCTTTCATATGTACTCATAATGTATTATAATCTTACTTTGATGTTTTATTTAAGTGATGTTTATTTTCTTTGCTCTGTAAAACTACAGAAACTTCATGAAACTGTTCGTTTTTTGTTGTTGTTTTTGCTTTTTTGGGGGTGGGGGTGGGGCAGGCAACAGCCAGCTCCCAAATAATGACACATGGTGACTTTTTCTTACTTATGAATGCCCAGCCTTAGCTTGGCTTGTTTCTTGCTAGCGTTTCTTAACTTAAATTGTCCCCCTCTAGCTTTTTCCTCTGGGCTCTTTTCTTTTCTTCTGTTTAGCTTACTTTCACTATTACTCCGTGACTGGCTATGTAGCTTGGTGACTAATCCCTAGCATCCTCTCCTTCTTTTCTTGCTCTTTCTTCTTTTCCACTCAGATTCTCCTTCCATTTATTCTCTCTGCCTGTAAGCCCCATCTATTTTCCTCTCCTAGCTTGCTATTAGCTGTTCAGCTCTTTACTAGATCATTAGGTGTTTTAGACAGGCAAAATAAGAAAGCTTCACAGAGTTAAACAAATACAACATAAGCAAAAGCAGCACACCTTAAAATAATATTCTACAGCATGAAACTATTTCCACATTGGAATACAGAAATTGGGGTAATTGAAATCTGTGTGTCTAGCCCATGGTTATTCAAATTGTTTCCAGAATAAACTATCTTTTATGCTCTTTAAATGACATCTGTGTTTCATGGTTCAAAAATTATGATGCCACAACGTGGATTTCCAAGAAAGATTCACTTTTCACTAGAGGAATCATCTAAAACAAATTCAGGTACCTGCTTAGACCCATCAAACCAGAGGAATCTGGTGTTACTACCTCATGTGGATGGGTGCTTTGCAGAACTCCTGACCTCACTTGTTTGGTCAATGGTCCATTTTGTTTACTCTGAACAGGTTAACAAGAATCCTAATTTGATAGATACCTTTGTGTTATGCTTTCAAAACTTTTTGGTATAAGGTATCTTATTTCTTTGATTACTTTGAAAGCATTTTGCTCTAGACATTTGATCTGGTTAGTCTGTTTGCTTGTTTGCTTTGTGATATCTAGAGGCATTATGCTCAATATTTTATTTGCTTTTGGAAATTTGAAGGCATTGCTTTTTGTTTTGTTGGTCTTCACTTTTATTGTCTTGAAATGCTTTTATTATCATTCATTTTTGTCCTGACACTCCTCCTTAAATACATGATTTGGTGTTTATCTGATAGTTCTATGAAGTTGCCAAGGATGTAGTTTAGTAATTTTATGAGCCCTTGATGATAAATATACCACTGAATACAAGAGGCATTTGTTTCCTCCCAAGCAAAGGTATGGTGGTGTCAGAGGGAACACTGAATGATATGCAACAGCTTCACAGGGGAACCCAACAAACATATCCATTTCTGGGTCAGAAGGAATTTAATTGGCTTGCCAGAATGGCACATATTGGTTACCCAGTGTCTTGATTATCCTCATGCTTTTGTAAGTGTGCAGGATAATTCTGAGACCTACTTGAAAACAAACTCAAGAAAATGCTGTGAAATTCAATTCCCAAAGCAACAGATAAAACTGAACTGAAATACATATTCTCCAGCTAGCATAGTCCTTCAAATTTTCAAGGGAAAATAAAATCACACACACACACACACACACACACACACACACACACACACACACTGAAATTTATATATAATATATAATAATGTATATATGATTTAAATATTTAATGTGATCTTCTTTTCTATATAAAAGATATACATAGAAAATATTTTCCCTCTGAGAGATAAATTGTATCAGATACTCTATGTGGCTTTAGGTATGGTGTGATAATTATTAACTTGCAAGTATTAAGAAAAATGGGGAGATCTAAAGATAACTAATCTGATTTATCTGTGCACTTAATGAAGTCCTGGTAAATTAGGGATTTTTTTTAAGTCACAACAGGCAACCAGCTTTAACTGAAATGTGCTGTGGATATTGCTCTGTATGTTGTGAATGTGTTGCTCTGATTGGTTAATAAGTAAAATGCTGATTGGCCAGTAGCCAGGCAGGAAGTATAGGCAGGACAAGCAGAGAAGAGAATTCTGGGAAGAGCAGGGAATCACCAACCAGACACAGAGGAAGCAAGATGTGAAGGCAGAACTGAGAAAAGGTACCAAGCCATGTGGCTAAACATAAATAAAAATTATGGATTAATTTAAGTGTAAGAGATAGTCAATAGTTAGCCTGAACTAATGGCCAAGTAGTTTTAATTAATATAAGCTTCTGTGTGTTTACTTGGGTCCAAGTGGCTGAAGGGCCATGGGAGCCGGGCAGGACCAGGAAAACCTCAGCTACAAAAATGTAAAATATCATCACCACCACCAACAAAACATGATAAAGACTGGTAATGGATAATGAAATTGTGCTTTTCAAAAAAACTACATGTGAGAAAATTAAATGCTGCTCAGGAATTAAAGAAAATTTTAGAGTTTATATCAACTAAAGGTAAAGCCAAAAGTAACCCCCTACTCTTTTCTCTCTCTCTGACCTTTCTTCTTTATCTCAGACTTAGTTTTCCTTGAGTAACATTTTTTTCTTTTGTCTTTGATGCCTATATTACACAAACTAGTCCTAAACTGTCTTTCAGCCTGTGAGTCAAAAATTTCAGTTTGGCTTACACTGTGGTCCCTCCAGCTTAGGGGAATTTCTCAGGCTGTTAAAGATAACCATAGAAATCTATGTCACTGACTGGTGAAGTAAAACCCAGGTTACATGAGTTCAGTAATTGCTGAAAAATGCATTATTATACATCTGTTCAAATGCTGTAAAGAAATTTCCCAGGGCCCCCTGATTTCCACTGCAATCTAACTATCCCTGATAGTGGAAGTGAGATTGTGCTTTGCCCATGAATAGACTTAGGAATTCCCATGAGGCCAAAGGTACCCAGAAACAATGCCCCGCCCCCCTTTTAAGTTTAGCATCATATAAATTTTCCTTATCCCTATTGTTGTATATGAAATATACAACAATATAATATATTATAATTATATATATATATATATATAATAATTCCTGCAAAGAGGAAACTGTGTGGTGAGTAGTTTGAAGCAACTTGTGAAAACACAGCAGAAAAGGACTTGAATTATACTTATATAATTCATATACCGCTTGAATTATATTTCTACAACTTATATAATATATACGATGAAGTGTGTGTGTGTGTGTGTGTGTGTGTGTGTGTGTGTGTGTGTGTGTGCCTTAATTCATGAATTTGCACTTCTTTGGTGTAGGAACTTGCAATGGTCAGAAGAGGGCGTCAGATGCTCTTGAGAGGTGAAAGCCTTGTACGTGTTTGAACCTAAAGTGTGTCCTCTGGACCCTCAGAACGTCTGCAAGTAGCGTTCTGCTCTGTTTTCACAAGTTGCTTCAAACTACGTACTACACAGGATCTGTGAGGAGAACCTTTCTGCGGATGCACCTTCTGTCCAGTACGGACACTTCCACTTCCTCTAATATGGCGCCGCCGTGGCCTCGTCGGAAGTCTTTCTTTCCGACTGCACTTTCTCAAGGAGTTTACGTTAAGTCATTTGTGTTTGGTAATGCCCGAGCTGACACACATTTTTATCATGCATTGACGTGACTGTCATTTTCCTGATCGTCCGGAGACACTCTCTCGATAAGACTTCTCTCTCTGTGTACGTCAGATGCACAAAGACAGATACAAAACAGGGCGCAGCCATCTTTCGTCTTCACAAACGCTGGAAACTTTATGGCCCTCCTCGGCCACCGTATCACACAGGGGGAGGTGGGCATTGAGGCCGCCTGAGAGGGTCGTTCTGCAAGTATTAGCAGCCTGCGGTTTTATTCTGTAAAACCGGTCTATATGACGTGCTCTTCGACTGCACGGGAGTGGCGGAGTGGCCAGAGTGCTCTTTTGTTATGCGAGTGCGATTCCGTGCAAAGGTATTTGAGATGATGCTCTATTGTTGGGAGTTCTGAGGAATCCGCAATGAGGTACCTTTGGCCTTAGTCCTTGTGCATGTAGGGGCTGTTGTTTAAGGTCTCTGGAGACCAAACACTGAATGCTGAGCTCAATTTTGACATCTAGGATTCTCCCTATGTAGAGATTGAGAGCTGGTGAATGTCGGCCAAGGCGATGCAGGGTTCGGGCTTTGTCTTCTGCTTAAGCTTCAAAGGAACTGTTTTGAAGGTTGTACAGCTGTGTCTGGTGCAGGCTTTGGAATTCATTTCGGTGGAGCTGGGGTCTGGTGCTGGAGTGCATGTGGGTGGCAACTGTGGAGTACCAAGTCTTGGAATTCGCCCTATAAACCAGACTGGCATAGAGCTCCCCGAGTGCTGGGATTAAAGGCTTACCCCACCACCACCACCACATCTTGTTCCTTTGTTTTCTGAAACAAAGATACAAGTAATCTCTGTGCTGGTACATTCTGTTGCTTAGTAACCTTTGTCATGTTTTAGAATACTTAAGTTAAACTTGTGTTATATCACCAGCAGTCATAGTTTAGATGAGTTTTGTAAAAATAATTTCCTTTCCCAGTTTATTTCATGAAATAAGTGTAAATTTTTTTACATGTTTGAACTGGCGACATGAGTGAATTTACACTCCCATATTGTATGCACGTGGAGAGACCTAGAATGTGTATTAAGAGATAAGTGTTTATAAACCTTTTACCATGTATTTACCTACCTCAGCAGGTTTGCTTTTCAGCTTTAGCCTAAAACATTTACTTTATCCTGATGCGTCATTTTCCAATCCCAGTGGATAGCACACTGTGGCCAATATTTCACTTTGAGAAGTTCTTAGAAATGCACTTTTAAGTTATTAGGGAAATCCGTTTCTTCCTTCCTTCCTTCCTCCCTTCCTTCCTTCCTTCCTTCCTTCCTTCCTTCCTTCCTTCCTTCCTTCCTTCCTTCCATTTTTTTTTTTTTTTTGAGATTTTTGTGTAGTTTTGGTGCCTGCCTTGGATCCTGCTCTGTAGACCAGGCTGACTTCAAACTCAAAGAAATCTGCCTGTTTCTGACTCCCAAGTGATGGGATTAAAGTTGTGTGCCACTCGTCTGGCAGGGAAACCTGTTTCTTAAAATAGCATCCTTTATTCTTTAAAAGTTACATACTGTTATACAATAGATACTGACCATTCACTGCTCCCCTCTTCAAATTCCCCTCTTGTCCTCTATCCCATCTCCTATATTGGCTATTTTCAATAAAATGTTAATTAATTCCCAAGAAATGTTCTATTCTTTTATAAAGTTAAATAATCTTTAAAATGTGTATATGTGCCTAGGACCACTGGTAAAGGTCAGAGGGCATCTTTTGTAATTAGTTCTCTGCTTCCAATATGTGTGTCTTGGGGACTGAACCTGGGTCATCAAGCTTGGTGGCAAATGGCTTTATCCCACTGATCTAACTACCCCCAAATCTTTTGTTCTTTAACTGGCTCTCTGCCTGTATAGACTTTATGGTGGTTAGGTATGCAGCTTTCTCTTTCTTCGCCCCTCCTCACTATGCCTCACTTCTCTGCCTCTCTCCCTTTCTTCTTTCTCTCCCATGTTCCCTTACTTGAGATAGATTCTTTTTTTTTTTTTTTTCAACATATAGTCTAAACTGGCCTCAAACCTGTAATCTTCCTGCCTCTCAGCCTCCCGCTACTCAGTCTATGGATATGAAGTAAAATAATACTGGTATATATAGTTGTTTTTGAACTACAATAGTAGAGTTGACCATTTGCCCCAGAAACCATGAACCTTTTTGAGCACACACACACATACACACACACACACACACACACACACACACACACACACACACACACAGTTTTAATAATTTATCAACGTATGAAATTCTCAAAAAAATGTTAATGTTATTGCTTATACCAAAGATTACTAATAGATAAATTTGTCTTTGTTATGATGATTCGTATTTTTATACTCTTCTGTCACTATGTAGATGACTTAGTACATTCTTTATGTGTATAGATGTTTTGTTTACATATATGTTTGTGTACCTCAGTGCTTGATGCCTGTGCAGGCCAGAAGAGGGTGTCAGATGCCCTGTAACTGGAATACAGATGGTTGTTGTTAGCTGCCATGTGGGTGCTGGGAACTGAACCCATGTCTTCTGGAAAAACAATCTGTCCTCTTAAACACTGAGCCATCCCTCCAGCTCCGTTAGTATACTTTTGCATGCACCATCCTCCTCCATTTATATGCTATTCCAGTATATTTTACTCTTTGCATAATCAAACCTCTGAGATATCATAACTTAAGTGTCACAGTGAGCTTCAAATTGACTTATTTGGGAAGATGGAACCTCTGTTGGAAAATCATCTCCACTGAGTGGACCTGTGGTCATGTCTGTGGGACATTTTCTAAAGTGCTAGTTGATGTAGAAGGGCCAAGCTAACTGTGGGTATGCCATCCTGGCCAGGTGGGCCTGGGCTATATAAATGTAAGAATGGTAGCTGAGCAAGCCAGGAAGCAGCATTCCTCAGGTTTCTGATCCAAGCTCCTGCCAAGCATTCTTACCGTGGATTCCCTTGATAATGGGCTATATAGAAGGTAAACTGAACCCTTTCCTTTCCCAAGTTGTTTTTGATCAATGTTTTATCATACATCAGAAAAGCCAAGTACAGTGCCCAATTATGACTATTTTTGATTTAACTTTTTGCCAATTTTGTTCCTTTTTATTCCTTTCTTCGATGCTCACATCTGAGGCCCTTTCCCGTTGCTAAAGGAAAACATTTTCTTAGAGGTTTATTGATAAAGAATTCTCTCTGGTTCTCCCCCCAGCCACCCACAAATGTCTTTATTGAGTTATATTCCTTAAAGTTATTTTTACAGCATGTTATTTATATATATATATATATATGTCTTACAGTTTATCAGTGTGTAGATGGTAATGAGAAATTAAATATGGTGGTGTTTCTTTGCTTCTTATGATATGAAATTACTCATGAGTCTTAGAATGTAAAAATAGAAAAAGCAAACTTTTAAATGGGTTGTGTATGTGTGTTCCTGTTCATGTGTGTTCATTCTCATGTGCTGCTTGAGACAGGGACTTTTTGTTGTCCTGCTGATTGAACGGGTTAGCTGGACTACAGGCTTCTCCCCAGATTTTCCTCTTTTCTTTTCCCCTCCCTTCTTGCTATAGGAGCGCTGAGATGACAGACACTCACTACATGAGTTCATGGGATTCAAGCATGAGTCCCCATGCTGGCAGGACAAGCAGTTTTCCCATTGAGCTATCTCCCCAGACTCTAGGAAGACTTGAAGAAGTAAAATAATAAACTTTTAAAAAAATGTACATTTGGTATATTCTCTTTCTCAAATTGATAAGCCTTCAGTTGGAGAAGCATGTACTGTTTCTCATATCCATTTTCATACATGAGTGTCTATCATATATGACAGTCTCACTACTGACATTTTAGAGGAGGAAGGGACTTGTTCAGGATTGATGGTTCATTAAGCCATATGTCAGAACCTTTAGAGCACTAAGTAGATTTTTAATGCTTAATTTAAGGTAAATGTGTAGCAACATGATATCATCAAGACATGATGAGAATGTTCTGCTCAGGGTAATTTGTTCTATATCCCACAGGTGCCATATGACCAGGAAGAAGAGAAATCAAGTGAAACAAAGACGAGGAGATTCTTCGGATACACTTGGCTAGCTTACGCTGATCCAGAAGTGACAAAGCAGAGCACTCCAGTCAATGGCTAACTTCTAAAGTCAAAAGAAAATGATGCAGGCCCAGGTGACTTGAGACATATCTTATTCTTTTCTTTGTTCTCCAGAAGATTTGTAGAGGCATATCAAAATCCATTTCGGAAAACATAAAAATATAAATTGTAAGTAGCCCTATCTAGAGAAATCTGAGCTAAGTAGGATCAGGGATATAATGTTCATAGGATTCCAGACTATAGGGTTCATGTTGGATGTGATATGTGTTGCATTACTTTTCCTGAAGAATGTAGACAATTATTAGTTCAACCAAGATAGGCACCAGTGACTAACCAAAGATAACATTCCATTCAGTCCTATGTGATGAACCAATGAGCATATCAGGCTTATGTATGGGAATGTGTATAAGGGGTTATTTGTGAGCATTGTGGGTGACCTAAAAGCACAAAAAAGCCCCACCAAAACTTGGGTAACAACCTCTCACAAGCTACACATATGGAGACCCCCCTGCCACTTCTGTTAACCATTCACTCTCTTGTGAGGCTCTCCTGCATATCACTAATCCTGCTCCAATTTGGTGATAGTAACAATCACAGGTAATGCTTAGAGAAGAGCATTCTACAACAGTCTCTTAACTCTTCAGGTCTCTGGGTTCCACTAGTTGTCAGTTTAAATCTGATGTCTGTGACAGCCATGAAAAAGAATCATGAGTAGTTACATGACCCGTGACAGAGCAGCCACCTCCTCAAGAGCTGTTAATATTTCATGATACCTGGTTTTGAGGCTCACATAGGTCTTTCATGGCTCTTTGGGTTAGTGCTTTGGGTGTTTATGACATCAGTCTTCTCATGAAGGCAAAGACAGTTTTCCTACAGTTATTTCTTTATTATGACTTGTTTAATTTTGTACATATACACATATGTTTTTGATTATGTACATGTGTCATGTACTTTTAAGAATAAGTTTTACTTAATCATGTAGTACTGTTTGCTTTATGCCTTTTTAGTTCCTTTTGCTGTAATATATTAGTGATGGAGTCTGCACTGTCCTGTGTTGCCACCATCCATGCTGTCTTAATTACTTACTTGAATACTGGCACATAAGATCATGGTACACTTTAAAAATCTGTGTTATTCAGCAGCTAAGTTGTGGTATATACCTATATTCCCAATACTCTGGTGACTGACTTGTAAGGATTGGGAGTTCAAAGCCAGCTTGGGCTACATGAGATCACCAAACCAACCAACAACAACAATAGAAAGTAATCATCAAAAATAAAACAAAAGAGTATCTGAATTGTTTGGGATTCACTGAAAAACCCTAGGACTATAAAAATCAAACCAAACCAAACCAAAAGTAAACACTCCAAAAAAATATTTATTATTCATCTACTTAGAAGCACCATACATTTTGGTATTGGCAAATAGGTGTTCACATGTGTACATGTACACACATAGAGCAGATGTTCCTATATTGGTAAGAGATGTCATGACAGTTATTACAGAAACTTTTATGAAGTTTCAACTTTGTGGAATAAGTGTTCATATCATTTGAGAATACATTATTAAGATTCTTCTTCTCTATTAAGAGAACAACCACATATCTTCCTTTAAATTCTTCCCACATCACCAAAGGAATATCCCTTCATTAAGAGGGTGGTGTTGTTACAGGAATCCCTGACCTTGGACGATGTGGCTGTGGTATTCTCCTGGGAGGAGTGGCAGCTCCTGAGCCATGCTCAGAAGGACCTGTACTGGGATGTGATGCTGGAGACCTGCAAGAGCTTGGTGTCAATGGGTGAGGATGGCATCCTGTGGTATTTGGAGGACACCCAGTCAATAGCTTTTCAACTCAGCTTTTAAACTCTCAAGTTGTAGATTTTCAGATCTTTTTATACCCTTGAAGGAGGACAGACTCTATTCTTGTACAAGAGAAGTCTGGCCGGGCGGTGGTGACGCACGCCTTTAATCCCAGCACTCGGGAGGCAGAGCCAGGCGGATCTCTGTGAGTTCGAGGCCAGCCTGGACTACCAAGTGAGTTCCAGGAAAGGCGCAAAGCTACACAGAGAAACCCTGTCTCGAAAAAACCAAAAAAAAAAAAAAAAAAAAAAAAAAAGAGAGAAGTCTGAAGTTATGGTTGGGAATTCTTTTTAATCTCTAAAACATAACATGTATTTTTGACATACCCAAGCTGTGTTATTTCTTTTTCTCTTTCTGTGATTAAAAACAACATAAGGGAGAAAGAGTTTACTTTGGCTTTCAATTCCAGAGAGTTGCAGTCCATTTTAGTGAGGAAGGCATGGCAGCAGGCAGTGAAGGGATTGGATAGGAGTTGGAAGCTACCTGGTCACCTTATATCCACACTCAGGATGAAAAGGCCACACAGGAAGTGGTGACTGATTATAAAGCCTCAATGATACCCTCCAGTGGCCCACTTTCTTAACTGAAGTTCTGCCTCCTAAAAGTTCTACCCATCCTTCCCAAACACTACAATCAGCCCAGGATCCAGTCTTCAAATCATGACATGATGGAGGGTATTTCAGATTTGAACCACAGTACAAACCCATTTTGATTCATCATAGTCTTCTGTCATTTTCCACGAACAGGGTATCTAACCAGGAAATCAGATGTATGCTCCCAATTAGACCCAGGAGTACCATGGACAATAGAAGATGAAATCCATAATCTAATCTGTCCAGGTGAGAGCCAGCAGAATTGGTTTCTGCATGCACTGTGGGGCAATAACTGTGTGTGATCTGAAAACACAGAGCCAACCTCTGTGCTGGTCTGAGGACACAGACCATAGATATCCCAAACATGGTCACTGTTGGGGAAAACACTGCTGATGGAACTATGCCACTGGGTTCAGGCTTTGAGAGCTTAAACTTCTGTTTGAGGATGTGAACTCTTAGTGTCCTGCTCTGGCCATTATGCTTATTGCTTGCTACCATGCTTTCCTGTTGTCATGAATTCCTATGCCTCTCAGCCTTAACCCCAAATAAACTTCCTTCTTGTAAGTCATTTCAGGCCATGGTATTTTACCACCACAACAGAGAAACAACCACTGTACCCATGGAACCATCATGCTAGCTCTTTGTAAGCTGAGAATCTATACTTTTCCTCCTCTCTCTCCTCCATTTTCTCTTCATTCTCCCAATTAGCCACTTCCTGTTCTCTGGAAAACACTTCTAAGTTGACATCTTCCTTAAAATCCAGTTTATGCTTTTCTTCTGCGTACTTTATTCATTATTTTGGCAGCTGTCTCAGAACTTCTAATTCTGTACATAAGGAATGAGAATCATCTTTTCATCAAGGGAAATGCTTTTGATTAGCCTTGTTTTATGTATATGTTTTGACATGAGGAGATCTCACTATGTAGCCAGGCTGGTCTTGAACTCATGGACTTTGGCAATCTTCCCACCTCAGCCTCAAGAGTAATTGGAACTACTTAACATGCCACCCAGTAATGATCCAAATGAGATAGTTGTGGACAACCATGCTGATTAAGCCAGTTAACAGTTAACTTTACATGGATGGCCAGACCAAGAGCTGGCTTGAGTCTCTAAAAAGTCTCTTCATGCCCAAATTCAGGGAGATGGAGTTTTTAAAGGCAAAAACCACAAAGATACATCAAAGTTAGATGAGGGTCATAGTAATCCTGAAATGTTCATTCCTGGCAGAGCATAGTAGTTATTTTAGATGTAACTTGTCAGTTATTTTAGCTAATACACCAGGACCAGGGTCAAAGCAATGAAAATCTGAAATGTGTTGCAAACGTAAGTGACCATTGCGGGAGGGTCTAGAAGGCTGAGAACTATCTAAGCAAACACAAAATGGAATCAGAACAGGGTGGCTTTACCTTAGGTATTTCACACACCTGCTTTGAGTATGCCTGTTTAAATTTATGTTCTAGTACTATACATCTTAAAACGTATCTGAAATTACCTTAAATATGCCTTATATGCTGAGCTTTCTTCTCCTTTTGTTTGTTTGTCAAGGTCCCTATGTAGCTCAGGCTTGCCTCAAACTCAGTTTTTTTTTTTTTTGTTTGTTGTTGTTTTTTTTTTTGTTTTGTTTTTTGTTTTTTGAGACAAAGTTTCTCTGTGTAGCTTTGTGCCTTTCCTGAAATTCATTTTGGAGACCAAGCTGGCCTCGAACTCACAGAGATCCACCTTGCTATGCCTCCCGAGTGCTGGGATTAAAGGCTTGCGCCACCATCGCCCACTGTCAAACTCAGTTTTTTTGAGTCAACAGTGCAGGGATTACAGGAGTGAACCACTGTAATCTGTTCTGAATTCACTTTTTAAAGTTCTCTACATTTTTCTATTAATTAGAGAAGATTAATGATTTCTTGCATTTCCAGTATAAAGCAGGTCAGAAGTTACACTTCTGCCAAAATTTGCTTTCTTCATAATTTTGCTAATTTTCAACATTTTTATGGTTCATCTTAGATGTTGCTTCTCTCCTCACTTCATTAAAAGTTTCTTTCTTTTTTGCAAATCAATTTTCTTTTCACAACGTTCTTTAGGTACAGTCCATATGACATATGAGTCACTCATTTAACACATACAGTTCATTTGACTGTTTCTAGTATGATAACCTACTTGTATAATTATCACTAAATTGTACATAATTGTGAAACATTTTCAGTGCACAAAAAATACATATTTTCAACGAGCTTTTTTTTTTAATTTGTTTTTATTTTCTGTATATGAGTGTTTTGCCTACATATATATATATATATATGTGCACCATGTAATTGGGGATGAATTTACAGATGGTGGTTAGCTGCCATGTGCGTTCTGAGACCTGAAACCAGGTCCTCTGTAAATAGTACAAGTGTTCTTAACCATGGAGCAACCTTTTCAGTCCCCCACCCTCCGTGGGGCATTTACCCACCACCCCCACAGTTCCCCAGAGTTTTCTTGAGTGCGAGCAGCAGGAAATATTAGACAGAAGGATGTATTGCGGAGAGAAACAGATAGAAAATAAAGGATAGCCTCGAGAGGGCCTGGAACCTTTTTCAACGGGCCCCAACTGTCTCTGCCCCAGGGTTTTTATAGAGATGCCAAGGGGTGGAGCAAAAGATCTCCTCCCCCAGCACAGCCAAGTGCAGACCATCTCAGACACCTGCACTCAGGCCTGTGGTCTTAATCATCCTCTATTCAGACCTGCTGGGTAAAGCCATGAGGAACCCAAGAACGGGCTCCCATACCCCTCACCCCTTTTTTCCTTTTGATTCTATGATTAATGGAAGTTTATTTAGTTGTAGTTTCAGGTGATTCAGTGTTTTCCAATTGTATTCTGGTGGCACCTTTCCCAGGTCATTGTATTCCCTGTCATGAGATTGTCGGCTTTTTATCAGTGATATCTGTAGTATGGCATTATCTTTTTCATGAAAGTCTTGTTTTTTTCTCACATACACAGGTTACTGTGTTCCATAAGCATTGTTGCCTCAATATATTGCCTTAAAACTTGTCTTATAATGGTATATTTAAACAACATAATGCACAAAAGAAACAAAATTCCTTAGTGTACTCTTTACATTGCCTTCAGTTTCAGTGGTGAGAACTACAAAAATAAATGTACAAATAATGTCTTATGCTAAAATGTACTATGAAATTAAAGCATCAGAAACAATAGGTCTGAGATTTGATGGGGTGTATTTAGGGCTGGAATGATTCCTTGATAAGCTGCCTCTCAACAAGTTAACAATTAAAATGGGTAGTTCCACTGTGTTACACAAAGGCAAATTCGTTTGGAGGATGTCTGAGAAACCTCTAGAAAGTATTTTTGGCTTGATTATAGTAAACAAAATAAAAGTGACTGCTGATATGTGTAGTATGAGGTATTAGCCAGAAACCCTGACTCATAGGTTGAATATTCAAGGCCTGATTTTATTCCAAGTAAACTTGGATGGGGAGTTTCCAGTAGAGGAATGGTATATCACTACTTTGAACAAAGTAACTGTTTATTTGGAATGTGTAGGAATAGAATAACCAAGATGAACAAACAGTGAGTCAGTACTTGATTGTGTACCTTGGACCTTCCCCACTTCTTACAATAATGTAGGAGAAATTGATCCATACCAGCTATTAGTTTCAGATTTGACTATAGAATTTTTCATCTCAATTTGAGACTGAGGGATCAATAGTGAAAGCACTTGTTTAGCATTTTCATGTCCCTGGGGACCATCATTATCACTCCCCCAAACCCCAACCCACAAAAACACACACACATACACGCACACGCACGCATGCATGCAGCACACACACACTCACAAATTTAGATCTGTACTTTCTTTTTCTTTGTCATGAAAACATTTAAATTCCTTGCAGCCTCACATTTTTTACTTGTCATGCTAAGTTGTTTCATCTGCCTGGGTCTCCAGGTATGCACCTGATCACAGTAGCACTTTGTGGTGATATTTATTTGTGCTGAAATGTGATATTTGATTTGTGCATTGATAGATAAAGCTTGCCTGGAGATCAAGGGGAAAAGGCCAGTCATTTTATGTAAACAAAGTCAGGCAGCACACGCCCTTAATCTGATCACTTAGTGGGCAGGGTCTCTGTGTGCTCAAGACCATACTAGGGAACAGAGCCAAGTGCGGTGACACATGCCTTTAATCCCAGTACCAACCATAGAGACCTGGAGGTCTGTACAGACAGGCAGTGACAAGGAAGTGAGGTAGCTGGGCTAAGAGCCAATGAGAGAGCAGAAAAGCAAGGCATATAAAGGCTTGGGTTGACAGGAATCACTTGCATTTGGAAGCTTCAGAGTTGGTGAGGTACGGTTGGCTGGTAGCTCTCCCTGTTTCCCTGATCTCTCTAAGGCCTTCACGCCTATATTTGGCTCCGTGTGTTTTTTATTTAATAAGACCATTTAGAAATCCGTCTACAGAACTTGGTTCATTTCAATTGGAATAACATATTCTAAATGCAGCGTGTTGGAATGACATAGGTCTTGTGCCTGTGCTACCGCCTTTCCCCTTTTCTATTTGTTTCTGAATGTAATCTTATGTAGTACTTTGTTTCCTTTCTTTTTTTTTCTTTTTTCTTTTCTTTGTCTTTGGGGAGACTAGGCTCTGGGATCATTCATTTTGTAGCAGGTATCTCACCACTGAAGCACATTTCTAGCCCCTGAGTTTTATTATCTGAAGTCCTGTGAAGTTCTGAGATTTCCTGTCTCACATACCATATTTGTGTTTGACTATCTATATCTTTTAAAAATTTAAAAAATAGCTGAATCTATATATGTTGTTTTTAAAAAGTATATCAATTCTTTTATCTTTCTATATATTTAAATGATTCTTTTACCAATGTGCAAGAGCTAAATACACACACACACACACACACACACACACACACACACACACACACACACCACAGTTTCTTCTATTAATAGAAAGTTGTCATTAAAAAGCCACTTATTGAGATTTCTTTTTTTTATTTGTGTGTGTGTATGTGTGTGTGTGTGTGTGTGTGTGCGTGTGTGTGTGTATGTGTGTGTGT